ATCAGGGTGCTGATGGCCAAGCAGTAAGGTTGCACCCTATGTTCCTCCAAGCAGTTAACCAGTTAAGTCCAAACTGTGGCCCCCTTTCCTGCATGTCATCCCCACTTTCTCTCCCCGATTTCCCACTCTATCCACTGCCCTAACTTAATAAATGCAATGCCTAAAAATTAATATATAAAAATAACAAAAAACAATATTCATAGGTTCCAACTGTATTGATTAAATTAAAGAATGATTCGTTTTTAGGTATTACCAATGAAATTCAGTTCAGTTCTTAAATCTTTCTCAAGGTTGAACTTTTTGAACTCTACAGTTTCCATTCTTAAGTAGTCTTAATATTTTGTACACACGATGAGAATAATCTTGAATCAGAGGAGCATGCAGCTTTGTGTTTACGTGATCATATTAAACAAGTCATCATAAACACACTAAATAAGACTACAACGAGTCACCTCTGGCACCACCTTGTGTACATTAGGAGTCATTTCAACAACAACTAAAATGCTCACTTCATTTAATGGTAACATCACTCCTTCATCAAGACTCCGTCTGACACTACATTTTTGTCTGAAGTCCTTCAGTGTGGAACTCAGTGCTGATCGAATGAAGTTGTACACATCAGCAAACATTTTAAAAGGAGCTCTTACTTTAAACATTTACAGAAATATACCTTAGTTTTATCCAATCAAAGCCCTGAAACAAATACTGACAGTTTGACATGTGAATGGTCTGTGGTTTCACAGGGTAAATATTTCTTTAAATTGTTCATATAGAGGACAATCGTTGCCATTAGATGGAACATAAGCTTCACAAAAAAATCACTGCGGTACTCTGTACCTGATCTTCTCTAACTGACTTGTTTGTAAAGTGTATCCTCTTTATTTGTGTTTCTGCGTAAATGCATGCCACATGAATGTCCAAGCATGTGTGTGTGTGTGTGTGTGTGTGTGTGTGTGTGTGTGTGTGTGTGTGTGTGTGTGCTGTGTGTGTGTATACATAAGCTCCACATGTGATAACATTCTCCCATTTCTTCTGGTGGAAATATTTATGCTAAGTCCTCATTTGAGCATGCAGTTCAAACAGAGCGGGTCCGGTGTTCTTTCCTCTTTTTCCAGACGCAGTCAGCCTCCGGGGGGCCTTCCCACACAACACCAAGCATTGTGAGCGCGGCCCGCTCCTCCCTGCTCCCCCCTGCCCCAATATACGAGTGTTTATGTCAAAGCCTGATATCCATTTTCAATCACCACTCCCTTAGCTCAGAGGTATTTATTTTTAGCAGGCAGGAACACTTTCATGAGAGCTGTGATATGTAAATAATTGTGATCGATCACAGGTGTACCATCGCCCACTGAGAGGACGCACTTACTGATGATGTTTGAAGAGAGAGAGATGAAAAGGGATCGTCCGATTGGCAGCGGTGTGTCCACGGGAGTATTTATGGAAACTCATTTAAACAACAACTCAGAGCATGGTAGGAGAGCAGGATGTTACTTTAAGTCAGGCTTTGTGAAGTAAATATTTCGAGTCATTCAAAGCCAGACTGATTGTGTTGATATTAAAGTGATCATTGTGAGACTTCATGCCTTGATTTGTCTTGTGAAGTTTGAGAAACTGCACATGTCTCTTTAAAAACATTATCTCCACAATATAATATTTAATATCAATAATGGATCAAATAAAAGAGGATGAAGAGACAGCAGCTTTCTATTGGGTCTGGAGAAGAGGCAGAGCGATGTTTTTTGTTGCGTCATTGCTTGCTAGCATGTCTATAAAAAAACCTCTATTAATAATAGAGAGTTTTTATCTCATTCTGTAGCCCTTGTAGACAAGACTACATTACAAGTGGAAACTGCCAATGTTGAAAAATTAAGACAATGTGGAAGTTCCCCAAACTGCAGTTCCTAAAGTGTCCACTTGAGGCTGGTTACAAAATCCAAGAAAAACTCATTAGGTCCTATATTAAAACGTTTTTTTATTTTTTTTACAGCAGAGAAAAATATATTTACAGCCTGGTTAAACAAAATAAATCAGGGTGCTGATGGCCAAGCGATAAGGTTGCACTCTATGTTCCTCCAAGCGGCTGACCCAGGTTTAAGTACAAACTGTGGCCTCCTTTCATGCATGTCATCCCCACTCCCTCTCCCCAATTTCCCACTCAATCAACTGTCCTAACTTAATAAAGGCAAAAGCATAAAAATGTATACACAATATTCATAGGTTTCAACTGTATTGGTTAAATTAGAGCATTTCAAACATTTGCATAATTGGGGGTGCGGCCTGTTTGAGTGACAGGTGTGTGCATCGTAGATGACTGGCAGGAGGCTAAAGACCTGCCTCAACTCCACCTCTAAGCCTGCTGCTAGACCGAACGAAAGGTTAGATAGAGTCAACATTTCAAATCTGACGACTGCCACTGTTGGGCTTCATAATGACTCTTTGGAAATCAATGGATGAAGTCACAATGATGTCACTATTGTCACTGATACCTTCTCTATATATCACAAATAGTTTTAAGGCTGATGTGTTCTGGTTTGGGTTTCCAGTGGCTGAAGAGACCATGTTGTTCTGTAAAGCAAATACAGTTAAGTTCACCAAACACACCATGTTCTAGAGGCCTCTGAAACATAAACCAGGTCAATCCAGATACTGTACTTGAAATCCAACAATGGGTCAACTCAGGCTAAAAAAAAACTCAAGCAACTTCTTTCATGTATGTGTAAATATTACACCTACCACTGGAAGTATTGTTGTGGCAACAAAAACATGAATTGCCATGGAGTACACTCAAGAGAAATGGTATCATCCATGGTTAGACAATAGAGGGTTTTTTTCTTGTTGTGGACTTGTTGTGCAATCTTTGGGTTGACTCATTGGAGAGACTTTGAGATTTTCAAGTTCTGAGTCCTAACTGTGTCTTTTAACAAAAAACACAACACTAACAAAAGACTCATGGGGTGTGGCTTTGGGCCATGCCGTAGGATCACCCCAGAAGTTTGGAGAGTAAAGTCCACATTGAACCTGGACCAAGGTTTGTTGTAGATGCAAGCTTAGTGCAGGAAAGCAACAAAAAAGTTCCCACAATCCTCTCCTCTGATCCACAGGACTCATTCTTTCCTTAATACTGTGATTAAACCTCCGGGCTGCAGTGCTGACTCAGTGCCAGATTCCCCTCCCTCCAGGTCTATCCTCACAAACCGCAGCCAAGTCTCTGGAAGGAACAAAAGAAAACACTGTCTCTGCTGTTTGGAAAACAAGAAGACACTTCTTTGAATTAAAGGCAGGGTTGGTAATTAACTCCAGATAAACTTTTTAAGATTTTGGTTGAAAGTGTCTTTACGTCCTGACAGAAATTAATAATTCATGTGCTCTGAAAAAGGAACAAAGAAAATCCGTAATCTGTATCAGTTTGTAAGTTTGTGAAAACTTCAACCAATGTCTGCCACGAGGTATCAATCTGATGAACCAATCACACGCCTCTCTGTCTCCCTGCTCGCTCTCTCCCTCTTGTGTGCACTAGCCCACACTCAAAGAGCGTCACCGATGACAGAGTTTATACTGCCTTTAAATATGCAAACTTTTTTTTTTATTGTTTACTTAAGAGTAGGGGTGGGACAAAATAAAAATTGAAAGGGCAAAATATTGTAGCCCTGACAAGTGACACCATTTCTGAATCGCTGGTACGAAATATCAGTATTTCATTGCGCTTTAAAAATATTTCTTTGCCAATTTAACACACTGCTGTACCAATTCTTGACTCCTGACGTTGACCGTTATGTGACATGTATGAGGGTAACTTGAACGGAAGTGATCTGGCCAAAGAAGAAGTTGACGGCAGGATAGAAGAAGAAGAAAAAGAAAAAGACAATGTTGGACAGCAGTGAGAAGAAGTTAAGAGATGAAGCCTGACCCTTTAAGGGGCATTTTGTTTACTTCAGTTAATCAGACACGGTGATGTATCATTATACGATTGTCTTTTGTCTATCACAGAATTGCTGTATCAGGATATTATCGTTATGGTTGGCCGCATGAAAATGAAAAATCAAAGAGTAATCACCTAAGCCTCTAACAATGACTCCATTGGGCTGGAATGGGATGTGTTAAAAAAGGATCACATCACATTTATTGGCACTTCATATACATACCTACCATGTGGTAAATAAAAATGCAGATGAACTGTGACCGATTTTCAAAGAAACAAAAACATTTGTGGAGCTGCTTTAAAAGTTTTTCCCCCCTTTCTCTGAACTATATTGAAAGCAACTGAGGTTGGTTCTGAGATGGGAAGCAGAGGTGGGGAAGGGGGGGCAGAGAACCAGGCAGCCGGAGGGGGGATGGTAGCGTCTTGCTTTGAAGGAAATCTGGAACCTATAAACTTGGGCAACTTCTATGACAAGAAGCGAACGTCACAACGCTCCAATTTGGTTGGCTGTGCGACGCACCTTTGTCTCCGCCTCGTCCCTTTGATCGGACCAATCGCTTCAGAGTCGTTCTTCCTGTTGTTTTAAGCTCAGCTGTCCAAAAAAAAGAAGTTCTCCAGACCAATCAGTGAGTCAGATGGGTGGGCAGCTGAAAGTTTCACGGGTCCCCTCCCTTTAAGAAGTCAGATTCAGGTTGCTGTTGTCTCACAGACAGCTATAGGAGAAGGACATAAGAGCAGCATGGATTCCTGATGCATTTCACAGAGAGGGAGATGAGATCATTGGCAGTTTTCCTCGCGTGTGGATGGAGAATCACTGTGGCAGTCCAACACTGAATGCTGAGGGTGTCACCTGCGTTGGCTTGCTATGTTGGGATGTGACAAAGCGTCAAGCTGATAACTGCTGAAGAAGAAGAAGAAGAAGAACACGGCAACAACAGGGAGTTTCTAAAGACGAACAGAACAGAGGCAAACTGAAGCAGAGGAGGAGGGGAGAGGGACATTGAAGGAAAGAGAAAAGCACAGGAGATATTCTAAGGAGCAAAGTCCTGGACAGTAAAAAAGTGGAAAGAAGAATAACGTGACCAAGCATGAGAGAGGAGGAGCCCTCCAGTGATGATCAACCTGAGGGAGGGGTGGTGTCTAATGAGGAGAACATGGTAAAACCACCTTCTAACGCCTGTCCTGTTGTTGTACCCACACCAGGCGTCAATGGACGCAAACGGCAGACAGACTCACACATGGTGGACCACGTTACCACAATAACTCCCACCACTTCAGCAGACGGCAAGGTCACACCAGGGGACAACATCCACATCTACACCCGAACTGGACCCAAAAGAATCAAGAATAGCCCTCAAGATCGGTCGCCTTCCTCCAGCCAGTCCCTTTCTCCTGTCCCTGGTCCAAGTCCTGGAAGTCTCTCGGGTCTGGAGGATCCACACGGCCAGCGAGTGATCGCCAACATCAGGGAGCGCCAGCGGACACAGTCCCTAAATGACGCCTTCGCCTCATTGCGCAAGATAATCCCAACGCTGCCGTCGGACAAACTGAGCAAGATCCAGACCCTGAAGCTGGCATCGCGCTACATCGACTTTCTGTATCAGGTTCTGCAGAGCGATGAGATGGACTCTAAGATGGCCGGATGTAACTACCTGGCCCACGAGAGACTCAGCTATGCCTTCTCCGTTTGGAGGATGGAGGGCGCCTGGTCGAGCATGTCTGCTGGTCGATAGCCGCCGACCTGAAGCGAGGTTTGTCTTCTGATGAATTCCTCGTGACTGGAAAATATTATTACTTGATTCAGAGCAAAGGGGGAAGTTTGAACTATGGCTGCTCACTAGGAAAACAATTTAAATGCCTCAGTTAGATCATCTTTTTTGCCTCACTGATGAAGGATTGGCAATCTGATGCTTGTTGGGAGACTCTGTTGAGATGTGACCCCTTTGTGAAAACTGAAGTTTCAGTGTTGTAAACCTTTGTATCGGATCTATCTACGGATCATTTGCTAAATAATTTTCTTGTCAAAAGCAGCTCGAGTCACTCATGGTAGGGATCAAAAGAAAAAGGGAAAATGGGATTCTTAGAGATTTGACTATAAACTGCAGATCCCACAGGATGGACATCATCAGTCAACCACTTCAATTAAACAACTTGTTGGTCTTGGACTCAGCTCCTTCTTTTGGACCCCCCTGACCCTACATGCTCTCAGGTTCTGTGGCTTGACCTCTGGTTTCATCCTCAATGCCATCACCTTCACTCCCATCTAAATCACCACCATCATTGCTTTTGTTATCGTGCTTGCATCGAGCCAAAATCAAATCTATTTTCTCTTGTGTCTCTGTAGTAGGCTAGCAAGTGTTTTATCTTAATATCGAAACAGCATCAGCTTGAGACTGCAGATGAGCAACCGGAGGAACTGCAAAAAGACAAATGATGTGTTTCAAGAGAGTTAGGACCTTTGACTTTTCCGTCACCCGTCTACTTCTACTTCTTTCCGAGACTCTGACATGTTATGAATCCCCGACCACCTCTGAACCCCGAGCGAACGGTGGAAAAAAATAGCGGTGGGCAGCAGCCGTCATCCCGACTTATGTTTCTCCTCTTCATACCCAAACCAAGCCCCTTTGTTTCTTCTGAGGCCAAAAAAAAAAAAAACTCTCCTCCTCTTGAAATTCTTTCCCTCTCGTTCTGGCCCGAATGTGCTTGCCTTGCACGAAGCCGTGATGCAGCTTCAGCGAGCTGACGAGGAGGCGTAATGAAAACAAACGGTCTCTAAAAACCATGAATCATGTGTGTCACCATCAAAGGGGAGGCTGATGTGGCTCCCTGCTGGGCTCCCCATAAACCACTGGAAGTGATGGAGGAGGTGAGAGCTGATTTATACACACACACACACACACACACACACACAGATGCATAGGTGTAGCATGCACCCAGGCACACACAAAAAAACACACCACCCCCACATTTTGGGTTTGAAACAGAAGCTGAGTGCTATTTCCTTTAAAAGTCAACATTCATAATTATACACATGAAACAAAAACAACAAAACGCATAGTTTTGTCTTATAAGAAGGAAAACTACTGCCAAGCAAAAGAGCTTCTCCTGCAAGGATTCAACTTTAATTTCATTCATACAACAAACTCCAAATAGTTCCATGTTGACATGTAGTTTGTGTTTAAATCCTAACCATGAAAAAAAGCACTTCTTACTTTGTTGCCCATTAGCATGAAGCTGGGGAACCTATCATTATAGTGTCACAGGGAGGTATGTTTCCAGCTCCTGTGAAGACTTACTATAGAAAACATTTGAGTGAGTCCCACAGCCACAGAGGAGTGGTCTCAGAGGGCTAACCTTCACTGACATGTTAGAAAGACAGAGATCCAGTTTCAGGCCAAAATCCAAAGGCAGCCCCCTGTGGATTTTTGTATTTCTAGGAATGGCTCGCCTTTCTTTTCTGGGAGATGCATTTACTTTAATGCACGTTAGATTTGATATGCGTGGGTTTATAACTACAGAGACAGTCTGATAACCACTGCAACTTAAAAATGGGACAGAGTGGATCAGAGCTCCAACGATACATTATCGATTAAAATACGTTAATTTGTGTGTTTTGGTAGTCAGTGTATTGTTTGGCTCACCTTTCAAGCAAAAATACTGACCTTTGTTTGGTTGGGGTCGGGCCCGGGCCCTAATTTCTTACAGTACAATGAATGTACCACCAGACATCACAACTACTAAAACAAAGACAAGAAAATAAGACGAGTTATAGCTTGCTTTCAGCTTCACCTGTACTACAGTGGGTACAGTGGTGCCACCTGAACTGGCCGTATGAACTGACCAGAAGAGAGAAGTTACACTGAAACTAAATAGACACTGAGGTCATCAGACACAGGTGAGTCTAACAACACAGGTGAAGACAATCACATCAATCAGAATGGAGGGAAAGCAGACAAAGAGAGGAAGTAAGAGAAGAAACACTGGGGATAAGAACTACAAAATAAAACAGGAAGCACTAAAGGCTAAACTAGGAAACATTTAAATAAAGAAGTACACAAGGGAGTAAAGCAACACCAGGGAAGACTGAGACAAACTAAGACAAGAAAGGAAATCTAAACTCTGAAAATATACAAAATGCAAAACTAGACAAGACCAAAATCTGTTCATTACACTTTTTGAAGAGAATACTTTACCACATTAGAACTTTTTTTTTTTACAGTGTTTCTATGTGAAATTTGGTCAATTCTGGCCACAGAAATTTTGCAGAGTCTAGAAGTCTACCTCCATACAGGATGTTGTTTCTCTATTCAGCTCCACTCCCTACCTTTGCATTCTTTACGTCATTAAAATCAAGTTGTTTTCTGACTTGGCACATTGATGCTACAATGCTAAACATCAGGTTTTGACAATTCTTAAATGTTCTATTAAACTCGAAAAATAAATCAAAAGTCTATGACACACTGAAAAATTACTTTGCTATATTTTATTGTGAGCAAACGTTGGTATGTTCCTGCAACCGTGTGCACCTGACAACGTGTTTAGGCTGTACACCGGGTACCCTGTAGGCCGCTAAGTTATCCTGTGTAACTTTTAAAACTCCTAACTGTCTTTATTTATTTACAACACTGACGTCTGTTTTCTTCTCTTTGCAGCTGCTGAATGAAGTCACTGCGATCTCCCCTGTACGTCTCTGCCTCTCAGAATCACCTGAACTAAAATGCACCAGAACTGTTTCTTTTAATGTACCTCACCTGTGAAGAAAAGGAATATTTAAGAACATTACAAAAGTCACTTGATCATGCAGGATGCAGACTGTCAGGGGGGAAGACATTTTTCTGCACCAGAAGCTGTCACTTATCGAGACGGAAACGGGCGATCGAGGTCAAGCTGCAGCTGAAGTCCTGTTGGTTTCTCGTTTCATTGCTCAGTATTTTTCCGTCCGATTGTTAAAGCAAGCTTCAGTGTCAGACAGTGATTAGTGTGTTTGTGTTTTGCAGCAGTTTAATGATGGAGAGGGAGGGGTTTGGGGTTTTTATAAGGAGCATTAGTTGACGTATATAGAGTGTGGTGCTTTGCGAAAAGTGAAGAGTAAACTGGATGTAGTGATTTATTCATCACATGGGCTCGTTATTTGTCTGAAAAATAAAGCGGTCCTCGAACTCCTCCTGAGATTCTCCTTGTTTTGTGTTAAACTTGATGAGAAACTGTGCACACATTTACACAGTCACCACACCTGTGTGTCTCCTGTCTCTCTTGTTAAACTGTCTCCCTTGTTTTCTTCTCACTTCCTCCTTCCCCCGGTCGTTTTTTTTTTTTTTTCTTTTAATGAGGTCTGTGTGCCTTTGCCTGGTCAGTCAGGAACAGTTAATTCCTCCTAAAGAACACGTTAATGTGCAATTAAGGGCTGTGGGAAATTTATAGCACTGTTTTGAGCCCTTTGGATGTAGTTTGATGTCTTTAGTTACTCCATGGTCTGCACGTTTACTGTTGAACCCCCTGAAACTCGACCTCCTGAGTCCACATGTTTTTGAAAACGGAGGTGGAGGAAACTCACCTTTTGGAAAACTCCTTCCACGGTGAATTTACAGAAACTCAGATTAAGGTTTTTGTAGACAGGGAAAACTGAGTGTTGGTCTTGTAACGTCTCCTTCGTTTGACGTCATTGTGCGGCGCTGTCTCTTTAACATGAGATTAGTGCGATGGCACTAGCGCTGGTGCTAACGATGCTAACTGGACTTTTTACATGCTCACACATACACAGTTACTGTCCCACTATGCTGACGAGCCGAGACGCCTCACTGGACAACTTTAAAAATGGTTTGGTCATTACAGAGGAATGGCGGGGCACATTTTAAGCACATCGTTTTTGACATGGTTGTAATAGTGAGTTTTGCATTTTCATGTGGACAAAGATGTTTCTGAGAAGTTAGCAAGATTACTTTTTGGAACAGAGGAGGAAAACCTCAGTTTAAAAATATACCCGCCTACGAGTGGACTAGACCCCGAAAAATTTAAGTTTGAGAATTTTAGTCATTTCAGGATAAATGATGGAGTCTCAGGGATGAAAATGTCTTCATTTACACTTTTCCGAGTCGTTTTTTTCTCATATTTCTTACTCTCATGTTCTTGGTTCAGTTCAAAACACTGCAGCAATATGAGCAGCAACAAAAACAATCATGGAGAATAAATAAATCTAATAAAAAGAGAGAGTTAACTCCAGGGGTCTTAACCTTCAAAGTACTGTGAGGGCTCCCCACTTTTGGCAGTTCCAGTAGCTCTTAGCAGGTTTGATCCAGGTTTCAAAATCACTTTCAGCCACTCTGGATAAGCTTGTGTCAGTCAAGGCAAGACGTCTGAAGCCAGTAAGTTTCAGACTTTCCTCGGGGTGGCACCGAACATAATACCACTTAAACTGAATCCCCTCAAGCCGGAGCAAAGCTTTTCAAAACAATACACCTTCTGAAAAATGTACTTTAAACACTTTTTCACATGTTTCCTCATCATCTGAAAACCTTGAGTCTGATTTTAGATCCACAATCATTTGCAAAATGTTCTTTGTCTCAGTGAAATCCACATGACACCTTGATTTTCATAAGAAAGCAGAATGAAATGCTAATGTTCATCATGAAGGACATCAAAACAGTTTTTAAACTCTCATTTATACATGCGAGTGTAGTTATCTTCAGTGGTCAGGCCCAATAGCCAGCCTGGGGATGTTGGCCATTACTTACAATCTGACAATTCTTGCAAAAAGCATAAGAACATACTCACTGGAATCCTCAAACATGCAGCTAAAATCACTGCTGACACCACCCAAATCCAACTGTCAGAACTTTTCATGCATGCAGCATGATCATCATGCAGGAAAGGAAAGTGGTCTGCATCACTGAGGTCCCTTCACCACTCGTTTCATCTGCTCCTCTCGGGCAGCCGTTTCAGAGGACCATTGGCTAACTTAAAATCTTACAGAAACTCTTTTATTACCTCTAAACAAGGCTAGATAAACACTACCTTTTTTACATGCTGAGCACATGTGATTTGACCTATTAGTGGAACTTTTGGTATGATTTTATGTGTCTAATTGGTGTGACTGTTTTTATGTTACTTGAGCTTCTAACCAAAAGTCCTTTTCTGTCACTGATAGACAATAACGTTTTTTGAATCTTTAACCATTCAAGAACAGTTCATTTTCTCAAACAACGTTTTGACACAGCTCAAAAAAACATTTATAATTTGCATTTTTCTTTTAAGTCACTGGATAAATGAACAAGAGCGAGAACAAATGTTTGTTGGAGATACAAATCGTTATTTTGATTGGTGGAAAATCAGCAGAATCAGCACTTCTTTTAGGATGTGTACACAGACACAAAACTCAGCGTGACTGGAAATTAACTTTTTTTTTTTTTAATCAAGAGAAGACAAAAATACAAAGTACAAAATAGACCATCTTTCTATACATACACATGGTAGGAAATGTGTAGGAAAAAACAACACATGATAGATAAATGATAGAAGAACAGCATGAAACAAAGATTTCAACGTCATGTTTATAGATACAGAGTTACTGTAAGTCCAGTTAGTTAAGAGTTACCAATACACACACACATACTACTCAATGCATTAAGGCACTTGTGTGTGTGTGTTGTGTATTTTGGTCTTGGGAGTTTCTATTTACAGTGTTTAAATTTTTTTAAGAAAGGTACAAATGACATCATCAGTAATAAAAGGAATTAAGATGTGAGGCGATACAGACCTCTGCATAAGACACAAAAAAACAGCTACTGGGGGTATGATACAGGAGAGGTCATTTACAGTATTTCACAAACACACACACACACACACACACACACACACACTTAGACTTGCAAATGCATGCACAACTACATGGTGGAAATCTACACAAGATGTGTAAATTGCCCACACTCTCTCTCTCTCTCTCACACACACACACACACACACACACTGAAGATGCATCACACTACGGTTACTTCATAGACACCACATGCACCTGCTGGGCACACTGTGTAACAGACACAAAGTCTAACATCCTGTTTACAACACTATAAACAAACAATAAAACTAATGACACACTTCTCAGTTGCACCAATCACAGAACAGCAATCCTCCTCCATGCAACATGTTCTCAATAATGCCTTCTGGGATGGAGCAGCGCTGCAACAGCATTTGGACGTCTGTGTTTTTTTTTTTTTTTTGGTTTCTACTGCCTACCTGTTGTTTGATATTAAGCTCCAAGGCCTTCTGGTGGGCAGAAAATGCCCAGAGTCTGACAAAGTAAAGCGAACGGAACAGTTTCCTACCTGGACGCTAAGATTACAATTCTTCATTCGGCTGGTCAAATCGACCCGTGTAGGTTTTTTTTTTTTACAAAAGATGCATTTACACACAAACACAAAAATCTTTTTTTTCATTGGAAGGTTTCAGAGTCAAGAAGCTCTAACGTCTTAAACACAAACTGTTTATTATTTTGGCCACCATCTTTTTTTGTTTAATCTTTTATACTAGTCGATCTGCAGCGCTCTTCAACAAATATTAATTTTGGTTAACGAGGCCTTAAAAGATTTAACTAAGTGTGCATACAAAATAACTCTGACAGGCTTTAGGTTGCTACAAAATAATCCTCTAATGTAACATCATGTTATTTCTTCTTCTTGAATGCAAAGTTGCCGTCATGATCATCGAGGAGGCAGTCAGGGAATTGCTTGAATGAATAAATAAAAGTAAAACCTCTGCTGCAAACTGAGGATGCAGGATGATACCTGTCAATGAAGGCTTTTGTTTTTTTTCATGGTCATCAACATTCAATAACATTTTTGGAGTTGACGCTTTAACTATAATCCAGAAAGTTTTGGGTTATTCCAATAAGGGGAGGTGGCTTAAACAAATGTAAGAAAGGTTTATATAATGATTCAAAATCATTAAACCAAATACGAAATGTTTTCATCCTGCTTCCTAAAATAAGTTTTTTTTTTTGTATTATTCCCAGTAAATTACATTTTTTTGAAAAGCATTATTTTCTACTGACTGGCGACTCTCGCCCAATGACAGCTGGGACTGGCTACATCCCCGTCTTGACCCTAAACGATAAGAGTGGTACAGATAATGGATGGCTGGATTCCTTTCTTTGCACCGATAACTTCAGGCATAAAAAACTGCAAGAGACACTTAAGGGTCTTTACAAAAATAGGTCGGAAAATAAGTTTTGCAACCGGCCAATTTGATTTGGAAAATATCAATAAATTGGATTTCTCTTGAAATCAAAGATGGTGCATCTCTACTCCAAACATCATTCAGCTTAGATGACGTACCGCCATTTCTATTATGGCGTTGTCAAGGTTGATTGTAACATGACGAGCCTCAAGTTTCCTTAATTAGACCTCGATGAAGCCTAAAACTCCAGATCGGATTAATTCGATGATAAAGACAGCGTTTAAACCAGGCCCAGGTCTTTGTACTCAAAAGTCTGCATATGTGACGTTCATCAGAATCCACAGGTTCAAACGTCTTTCACATGTCGAGTCCCCGTCGACCGGTCCCTTGTGGTGCGCCTCTGTACAGGCTCTTAGGGGAGAGCGGGCTGCTTCAAGGCGTTCGTCTTTGGGTGGTGTCGTTAAGTGCATTAACATTATTGCTCATATCAAACAATACGATGGTCCTCAAGTGGTGCTGCGGTGGAATGAGCGCTCCTTTAGTCTCAAATATAAACAAGAATATACAGTAATCAATACTAGTGGTAGATACACAGTTCATCATTGTGTGTATGTGTGTGTGTGTGTGTGTGTGTGTGTGTCAGTATAAATGTATTTAAGACACAGAACAGCAGAGGAAAAGTCATCCTGCTTTTTAAATGTTTTTGCCTACAGATTCACTTCATATCAAATACAACTCTACAGTATGTCGGCCTTTGAGTTGAGTCAGAGACTTCATAAGACATGTCAGATGAAGCGTCGGGGAACACAATCGTATCCAAAACTATTAAATAACCTACAAAGTTGTGTTTCTTCCCCCCCCCCCTCCCCCCTCCCCCCACACAGAGCTTTGGAATTTCTCATGGTTCACATTATGGAATGAACAGTGCAATAAAAAACAACGAGGACATCTGCCCTCTTTCTCTGTTTCGACAAAAAAACCACAGTTTGTAATCTTCATGTTCCTCTCGTTCCTTCTTTGTCGAGTTCTTTGTCGTCTTCTTTTAGTGGTTAAACTGCGAGTTATGACATCATGAAAACAGATCATCTCTGCGCCTCCTGGGAATTTGAAGCTGCTGCCTTCTCTGTGATATTTTGTGTGTGTGTGCTTTCTCCTGACGTTTGAGGGTCTGTATCCCTGTCAGCCTTTTTGCATCTTGTTTGGTCTGCATTTTTGAAATTGCAAAGTGGCAAAGGAAAAAGGAATTTATAATCCAAAGTGTCCTCCTTCTGCACCTGATGTTTGACGTTAAGGCAAAGTTAAGGCGATTAAAGCAGCTGCTGGTAAAAACATAGTGCTCCTTGGAATTCTGTCTGTAGCTCAAAGGTTTGGTACTTAATACACAAAGTCCTCCGTTAGTCACCAGAGATGTAAAAGTCTATTCAAAAATGTCTTGTATTGCTCTTTGGTGAGGTTTCTGAAGGTTCCCCGGTTGCAGGTAGTGCTGCTGGCGTCAGCTGAGTGCTCACCAGCATTGAGGTGGTCGTACAGCGGGTCCGTCGAGGTTCAGCATTGTGTTTTTTTTTTTCGATGTGTGGATGAAGTGTGAATAAGGCAGATGGGTGGGGCTCAGTGGCATCACAAAAAAGAAAGTCCCCTTATGGTCGTATAACAGCGCAGGAAGTCGGTGGGGCCCCAAAATCCTGAACGTGAGAGGTGATCGGTCACTTTGGTCGTCTACATGGAGTCGCTGTCATGCTCCATCGGCTCATCTGGAAGGCTGGAAGAAATAAGGGAAAGAATGAAATGGTTATCTCTGTTGTTTTAAGTGTGTTTATAAGTTCTTGTATGTGTTTTTGCTGAGTTGTACCTCTTGTTGGAAAGCACTCCCACAGAGAGCGAGGCCAAAGCGTTGACAGCGTCCGTCTCCTCACAGTCTCTCCTCTGAGCAGCCAGGTGAGACAGACCCACTGATGCACTGGAGGCCTTCACACTCTGCCAGTACTGACCTGCAACAACCAAAGGGATGCATTTTTAAGGATGCTTTCTTTCAGTTTTAAGAATGGATAAAGGTCAAAATACCCAAAATGAAGATTAGTGCTGCTCACTCTGTATCTGTATGACGGTCTGCAGCGAGCGGACTGCGTTAGCATTGGGCTTCTGGAGGAGGACTTCTTCTGCCAGTGGATCCTGAAAGACAGAGACGGACATGAAGATGATTAAATCACCATCATTAGACCTTTATCACAGGCAACTTGTCAATCATTTTTAAATCACTGAAGAGGTTCAGCGTTATACTGTCATCAGATTAGAAGTAGACAAACATGCAGATTAAAATTAGAATAACAAACTCAACAAGGTAACAAAACTTATAAACTACTATGCGGAGTACAGAACAGTAGTGTCTAAAATGTTCATTAGGGCTGGGAATCTTTGGGTGTCTAACGATTCAATTTCCATTCTTGGAGCGAGTCTGGATTCAAAGTCTATTTTTGAATTTCTTGCTGCTCCATTTGGCCTTCTGCTGAGTTAAAGAGCTAACCTTAGCACTTAGCAGGGAGTGATTGATTAGCCAAAAAAAAAAAATCGACTTTTGGAAGTTATGAACCTATTTAAAATCTCAACATAAGAATCTCCATTTTAACATAAAACAATTATTCCCACTTCTAATGTTCATGAAAATATAAAACCAAAGACCACAAATCATTTGTAAACCTTAAGACAACATTGCAGGGGTAAACTGAGTTGCTGATCAAACTATAAATACATTTCTTGCCAGTAAAACACAAATTCCCTCAGAGTCCATTTACAGATCTGACCTTAAAATTTACATATTTTAACTATCCTGGTGGCAGATAATTGTGACTGCTCTGACAGTCGTCTGTGTGAATATCCAGGCAGTGACATGGGTGTCTAAAGAGGTGTATATGTACAGAAGTGCAGTTGCATTCATGACAAGCTGTGACCTCATGACAATTCTTAAGCAGTAGCGGACAAGTTTAGTGTGTATTACCAGAAAAACAATACATTAATGAACAGAGAAATTCCCCTGATTTGTTCTTGATTCTGTGAGTCATTCCCTGACCTTTCCAAACCCACTCAGCACAACTCTCAGCACACAATGTAAATACCACCCTCCAAAAGAACTGAATTACCCAGCATGCTTTACCTGTATGCCCAAGAGTGCGCTGACACAGGCTTCTGATGCGTCGCAGATAGCTGTGAGGTCATGACCTCCCTCAAGGGCCAAAACCAGACGGCCTCCTGCCAGAGACATCAGCTGGCGGGTCAGGAAGCCGAAACCTGAGGTAGAAAAAAAACCCACCACACTCAAAGTTCATGTAGCATGAATAAAAGCCAAAGCCAATAAGAATAAAGTTTAGCAAGTAAATGTCAATCATGAGCTCCCAAATGAGTTCATATTCTCTGAAAACAAACGTATATTTAAAGCTTGTGGATCCTCCCTCAGAACCTACGAGCTACTAATGACTATAATTATGGTCACATTAGAGATGCACAGTCGGAGGCACTACTCCGGCTCTTTGGTCCATGATGGACAGGTGCTGTGATGATCTATTAATAACTCTAAAGACACACAGGACCACAGAGTTCTTATTGGCCTCTCCTATAAAAGATCCCTTGAGGTAAAGGACGCTCCGTCTGTGGTGGAGGACTGTGCTTACATTTGGCGGAGACCTTGTACCCTCCAAGAGGAGCGGGGTTTCCCTCTGCAGCATCGAACCCAGCAGACACCAGAACCACGTCTGGAGAGAACTCCTGAGCGATGGGCATCACTACAGACCTGCAGGGACACAATCACAGGAAACTGTCAGTTCAAGGGACGGAGACGTGTGTGTGTTTGTGTGTGTGTGTGTGTGTGTGTTGTTTCAGTTCCTACTGGTTACCAGTAAAGGGTTGCTCCAAGTCATAAATTACACATCTCCAGTGTGTAATTTTATTTTTGACTGAGCAGTAATGCTAAGCGTCCTGGGTTTTGACATGTTATCTTTGTTTAGCTGCAGATGTTTGGACTCTTCTGGCTTTAACATGCCGCCATCTTTGAAGAAGGACACATTAAAGGGTTCAGAAACAACAAGATGGACAGACTCTCTAAACCAGGGATGGGCAACTTTGGTCACAGCAAGGGCCACGTTCATTTAATTCTCACTGCCAGGGGGCCAAATTGTAGGATACAAAAACAATTACAGTCAATTATGTCTCATATTTAAGTCAACATATACCACTGATCAAATATTATGGACATATTTCTGGTTTTTATTATGTTTTCTTCATGTATCAAATGAAGTGATTATGTGAAAATTGCCCTGACGGCCACGTTGAGGGTTGATGGTGGCCGCATGTGGCCCCCGGGCCGCCAGTTGCCCACCCCTGCACTAAACCAAAGGATTTAAATTAATTAGGTCTATATGACAGTTGTAGACTAACTCTGATTGCTCATTGGATGGTGCATGCATTGCTCCTGTGCAGCACGTTACTAATGTAACTAAACAAGCAGGATTGAACCTAAACCTTATCAAAGTGCATCCCTCCGGTCTTTACAGAAGCACACTACACACACTGATAATGACCCTAAGTCAAACTGAAGTTTGGTCTGTTAACAAATAAAATAATTAATAGATCAATAAATAAATTAGATTATTTCAAAGAAGTGAAAGATAAGCTAAAACATAAAAATGTAAAAGCATGCAGGTCAAAAAGTCTGTTTTAGAAATGTAAACATTTGAACCAAAAAAAAAGCAAAAGGAAGATTAATTTTACAGCATAAACATTCAGATTAATTTAATAAATAAGTGATGTTGTTAAAATGTACTGTTTGCTAAAATTGGTAAATAAACGGGTAGTACAGAGTTTACTTTTAAAACCAGTTGTAGCTCTGCTGATTCAATGATAGAAAGACTTAAACATGGAGGATTTATTTCACCAGTCTGCTCACAAGAAGCCCAACATAGATCAACAATCAAATTAAAGAGTTGTTAACATGACAAGTTAAACCTGAGTTTGGCAGATTCCAGACTTGGCAGCGGACAAAAGACTTATTGTTTCTCTGTTAAAAAGCTGCTCAAGTCTGCCTGACAGAGTCGTATTGTTATATATCGGCTCTCACGTCTGCTTTCTGTTGTTTGTGGACTTCAAACAGATGAAGATTTCTCTTAATGCTATTGTTGTTTAGAAGACAGAGAGAGAGCTGTACTGTCCCTGGGCGGAGAGAGAGAGAGAGAGAGAGAGAGAGAGAGAGGCTCAGCTCTGCGGCTCGATGATGTCGGCCGAGTTCAAAGCCGGCGTGTGTGTGAGTCTGTTTCACATTAGAGGCTTGTCACTCTCCTCACGTCATTGACAACACAGAGAAAAGAGGAAAAACAGTCCATCTGGGATCCATTTACCTTCATTATTCTGCCTGGGGACTGTGGAGACCCCCCCCTCCCTCCCTCCCTCTGCTTCTTACACACACATATCTGGACACACGCACATACATCCAAACACATACTGCTGTCATGAGCGCATGCAGATGGACAACATGAGCTCATAGATACAAATGAGGACACCGAGATGAAACACACAAACACATTCCAGCGCGATTTCAAACATGCAAACAAGCACAGAAACTTTATAGGTAGAGGGTACATAATCCCCCTGGCTCATCCTGTCGAGTTTTGATTAATTAGATAATTTCCATCAACTTCATCATCCTCACGTGGATATGCGGCAGAGCAGGCGCACACCTAACCGCAAAACCCAGAAACCAGCTCCCCTGTAGACCCATTAAAGCTGCCACGCTGCTTCCATGAGAAAGAAACTACAGACAAGAGAGGAGGAGGGGGGGGGGGAGGAGGGGGGGGCTATTAAAGATCAATCAGGGGAGACTGGGTGTGTGTGTGTGTGTGTGTGTGTGTGTGTGTGTGTGTGTGTGTGTGTGTGTGTGTGTGTGTGTGTGTGATGAGGGTAGGGGTGATGGAAAGAAGGGGAAGGGGTTGGGGGGGTGGGGGGTGTGAGTGAAGGATAAGGTGAAAATGCACCGAAGCTCCCCATTCTGAAGTTCAGGCGCTCCCAAAGTTTAACCCATAAAATGTATTCCATTAAAAACCTTAGAGACTGTTATTTTCTTCCACCTTCCACAGACCATTTCATGTTTGCAAACTGTATTAATTACAGAGTGTGTGTGTGTGTGTGTGTGTGTGTGTGTGTGTGTGTGTGTGTGTGTGTGTGTGTGTGTGTGTGTGTGTGTGTGTGAGGGGGTGTGCGATGGGTGAGTGGTGAATAGGAGATTGTGGGCTGTTTAGATTTTAAAGCCATGAAAGAAAGGAGAAACGTTCTCGTTAAATGTTAAACGTGGCTCCACATAAGGTGGAAAAATGATGTTGAATTAAAGGCTAATCACAATAATGATCAATACATTTTTTTCAAAACATCTCATTAGCATCAGTGCCTCTTTGACTAATCAGTAACTGTAGTGCAGTTATTTACTCATTAATATACTAGAGCTGGACCAATTGATGTTTTTGGTCAGTATAAATGTATCACAGATGAACTCAGATTGAGGCACTGACACCAATTTGGTTTGTTTGACAATCAGTGCTCTCGCTGTACGATCCGATTGTCGGGCACGACCTGAGAGCTCACACCGCATGACTTAAATCTGGGCTGAGCATTCACAACTGTCAGTAGATGTGTATTTCAGTTGATTCATGCATGGCTCAAATACACACATCGGCAGAAACGCTCTTCCTCTCTCACACCCCCAGCATCCCCAATAAACACAAGCTAACTAGCAGCTGGATCATAAGAAAAGTTCCCTGTCAGCTGGAGGTCTGAAGATATTTCCTGCCAATGTCTCTTTCATTAAAGGAGGTGGAAGACTGATTAAACAGGCATGACTGATGTTGCCATGGTGATTTTGGACGTCGTCTACCAGTGTGTGCTTTGCTCTTGCTGTGTAAATGATCAAAATATCAAACATGCCAAGAAATGACTGGTCGGGAACAGCTGATCAGGCCGTGATCGGCTGTACACCCCACGCCTAACAACTCTGGATCAGGGTGAAATGCAGCCGGCTTCAAATCAGTTATACGACTCAAAAGCCAGGTCAAAATCAGCCTGAAATCGTAAAGTGTATGCCCTGTTTAAACAAATGTCATGATGATACATAGTTTTAACTTCTGGGCTGAGATGCTAACCATGCAATCACATTGTCCCTTTGTTCACCTTTGTTGAAAGTTAATCCTTCACTATTTTTTACCCACTTTTCATAAGTTTCTCAGGGGCCACATAAACTGATGGTGTGGTTTAAAGGGTGCATTTTTTTTTATATTTTACAGAATTGGTGGAAATGTGAGTTTCTGTGGCAAAACCGTTTGAGTTTGAAAATCCGGGATCCAAACTCACATCATCTTAAAATGAATATTATTGTCTGTGAAGTTTTTGATGTTGTGGACTGTCATCATCAGAGGCTGCAGGCAGATAGAAACAAACAGAGAATTACTCAGAGCTTCTATTAGGTCCAGATCGGATCTGAATACCGGACCATATGATCGGCATTATGTAAGAAAAAATAAGAACGTATGATGAGTTGTTTTTCCCATTTTAGAAAAGGAGGCACATTCCTCTCAACTTTACCCTCTGATGACTTTGAAGACTGCTAACTCAATTTAGTCATTAAATAGTTTTCAAAACATTTTCTGGTTTAAACATTTATCATGATATCAAGCTGTGGAAGGATCAAACCCCACTGTTAATGCTCCACTTGTTGAACACAGAAACTCCTCAAAGTCTTAAGCTTTAGGGAGGTCTCTCAGTATGAAAACTAGACCCTGAAGGAGGCATTACCTCGAAACACTGTGCTCACAACTTTCTTCTATTTAGTTTTGATGTGAAGTGAAACTTTTAATCCAAACTACGAGCAGATGGATCTGCAAACATCAAAAGTATCACAAATCAAAGTTGCATTCAAAGATTTTGTCGTGGTGACATCATTATGTAAAAAAAGAGTTTGTATCTAAACCCAGAAGATGTAAATCTTGTTTTTCTCCACTCACTCAGAACAAACAGTTATAAGGAGAGTTTGCATTTATTGCACCCTTGCAGCCTGGTAAACATGAGACATATTCTGCAGACTTAGCCCTACAGAGCTATGGATAAATCTGACCCATCACTCTAATGGACTAGAGCTGTTCAACCTCATAAACACTCTGGTGCAACCCCCCCCTGCGAGAGAAATGGACCGCTCTGCTCCACAGGAAGGTCAGAGGTCAGGGTCATGCTACACAAAGACGATCTCGGAGCTGCCTGTGAATCACTGTTTAGCTCAGGAACACCTCAGATGGATGAAACCTCCTGTAAGGAGTTCATTACTGGTTATGAAACAGACTTGAATTCATACTGAGGTATCTGTATGAGAGCTCAAGAGAAAATGAGAATATCAGAGAGAATATCTTTATAGTTGCATGTCACCCTGCTGCACGGGGCGATCAACAGCATGCTGCAGAAAAATCTTCTCTTTAAGTTTTCCATGGGAAAGATTCACGTGTGTGTCACATTAGACTTTTTAAATTAAGAAGGATCTGATTTTTTATTGTCATAAAACACTTCTTACAAACACACACAAGTGCAATAACAGCAAAGAGTTGACTGATGATTAGACATTCAGTGAGTAAGATCACTGCTGAAGCCGGTTTGTCATTTCATGAGTTTCATGATATGGGCAACCCCCCTATGCATGATTAAACATGAGTGTTTCTGCTCAGGTTAGGTACATAAACATTATGCATGCTTGTGCCCGCAGCCCCCCACCACCTCCCACCACCTTATGTCTGTGACTTTGCCACTGTGCCCCTCTTCCTGAAACCGTGCAGTCACCACAGTTTCCTTAGGTTTGATGCACCAGACGACCAAAACAGCCCACACAACCGAAACTTTATTGGTGCCAAACACACCCACCGATGACAATTATCCAAACCCACAAGCAGGAAGTAACCGTCCCAAATCTGTCAAACACGGGACCCTTGAGCTCATTTACTGTAAAGCATCTGAAGTTATTGGAAGCAGGGTGAGCCACACACATGCTCTCCAAATGACGAGGATTATTAACTACGTGAGGAAGTACGTCAGAGGCTGGATTTTTAAAAAGCGTCTTTGTTGTGGGTCAGCGAGAAGGAAAGATCCATTGTCGGATTACTGCTTCACTGAATGTCCTCAAACTGATCAATAAAACTAGAAGACAGCTAGTTTAAAAATGTACTCTGATGTCTACTGCCTAGGCCGCAAGGAGGATGGTGAAACAAAATCATCAAGATTTTAAATTCTAAATATCAAACATAAATCGGTGCATCCCCGACGATCCCCGAGCAGATCGGGGACGTTAAAAATCAGATCTTTTCTATGATTCACACTACAAGATAATCTGAGCAGATAATGGATTCCGAGCAGCCTCGAGTCGGGAGTGACCCTGCAATTGTTGGGAAAGAAAAATCGGACCTCAAATCAGCCTGATAATCCTGCAGTCTGAGCCAGGCTTAAGACACCTCCTTAATATGTCACTCATCTGTATCACTTTCTTTGTCTTTACATGTTGTGTTGCATTGTTTAAAAAGAGAAGCAGTCGGTTTTACCTGAAAGCAGCGATGTACTCAGCATCTCCCATCGGCGGCTCCAGTCCTCCGGTCCACGCCACGTTCACATTGAAGCCCTCCCCTGCTCCAGAACCGGCCTAAAACAAGAACCAGTGTTTTGTTGTAGTAATGTGATGAATAAGTGACCTATGATTGTTTTTGTTTGTAATCCGGCTCTAAAATTGTGAATGCGCCTCAAAGTTCACTGGAGGTCACTGACCTCAGCTGGAGAGCCGCTGCCAGGGAAGAAGTTTCCGTCGTCATAGCGATGAAGCGAGATGTAGAGAACACTTGGGTCACTGTAGAACACTTCCTGGGTGCCGTTGCCATGATGAACGTCCTAGCAACAGAATAATGGACAACATAAGTTTGTTTTTTACATACCAATCAAAGAAATAAAATTTTTAACAAAAGCTGGCTAAATACATACAATCAAGCTGATGCAAACAAAATAAAAAGGTTAAGGATTGTTGTTTAATGCACTGCCTGGTTATGGCAGAGTGGAGAAAAGTTTGGGTTAACTAAAAGAAAAAGCAGGATTTAGTTTGCAAATGTTAGGCCCTGTGACCACCTAGCGTTTTTTTTCTGAGTGCTCGAGTTGAAAATCTTTGACGCCATTGGCGCTCTTTTCAAAATGTAAGAAATTCCATGTATTTTTATCGCACTGCCTTACCCAGTCAACGATGAGGACCTTGCTGACGCTGAGTTTGTGCTGGAGCTGCTTGGCGGCGATGGCCACAGAGTTGAAGTAACAAAAACCCCTAAAAAAAAAAAGAGACGGGCAGAAGTTTAACAACATTGAGCAAAGATGTAACACATGGAGAGGACAAAGGCTTCATGCTTCTTAAATTTTCAGCCCGTCTTTTGTTGATTGTTTGTAGTTTGTTTTATTGTGATGCAGCCACCAGTTATTGATGATAGCATCCATTACTTCATGTTATATAAGTTCAATAAAGTACACCGGCTGAGCAGAGTTTAAGTCAGGACAAATGAAGAGAAGAAGATGAGTCATCAAAGCATCAGTACAAGAGAAAATATCTTAAACAGTATAAATCGTCCTTATTTTGTTCCTTAATCTCCTCCAGATCACTGCATTAATAACATCTGACAGTGCAAAAACCAAGAGGGCAACTGTCTTTGATGAGGCTGCACATGAGAATAAGAGACATGCACACACACACTTACATTGGATTAGAGGGGTCTGCGTGATGCCCCGGCGGTCTGACCACAGCAAAGCCGTTCTGTGCAGGAGAAACAGACACCATTAATCAGTATTACACTGGATGTAAAGGACTGCTAAAAAAGCTTTTCTTTTGCAACAATTAAATTTTTGGCACCAGTTATAGGAAGAAAGATCTTCCTTAAAGGTACAATGTAATCGTCAAAAAAAACTAGTAAGAAGTTGAACAAAACTCTGAACTACTGTTAAAAAGATAAAGATTGTTTCAGTCATGATCAAAGGTTTGAGTTAAATGAAGTGAATTCCCTTCAGTTTTTTATGGTTTTCAATTACTTCTTTTTGACTATGAGCCCAGAATAAATCTAAAACCATTGATTTATGAGCATTCATTGTTATTTTGGAGGTTCACATACAGCATGAAGGATTTAGAAAATCTTGTGCTGATTTCATGTTTTGACTAATATTACAAAGACAGTGAATTAGGGTCAGCGTGTATTTGTACAGTATTATTTCAGTGAGTTAAACATAAAGCCAAACTGCTCAAGTTCTGGAGATGTGAGACAATGGAGGACACTCATGAGACTTGCTTTGTTTTCTTGTAAATGAATACCTTTGGCAAACATTCCCTTAAACATGCAAAACTCAAAAACAGCTTTTTGGAAGTGGAGAGGTCATAATGTGGTTTAACTTTTGTAGGAGATATATTCAGGATATTCAAAAATGTAAGACTCAGATTGCAGCAGCAGGTGTCACCTTTGGGTTCAGGTCATGCACCTTCACTGGGGTGTCAGGTGCTGCTAGACTGAGAGCACAAACACTACACCAAGCTGCAGCACACAAGGTAATGCGGAGTGTTATGAGTGAATCTTTGTTTGGAAATTTACAGACAATGTTGGAATCTTGCATAATGAAAGTATAGACCATTACTGATGGGAAATCAATCTTTTATAAATTGACTGTTTTATTTCACAAGACACTCGAAAGCGAAGCCAAAACACGAGTATCTACTAGTAAATTAGCCCGTCTATGTAGCCCCTCAGTGGCTTTAAGTTTAGGCTGAGTTGCTGTAACTGTAGTGTGACAAAAAGAGTTCAACCGCTGCAGAATCGAAAGAGCCTTAGGTTGGTAAATGATGCTTTTCATTTTCTATCCTTTTGTTCTTGCATTGTTGGTCTTCTTTCTTTTCAGGTCGTTTTTTTTTACTTTTAGAATGGTTTCAAATTATGAAAATGAAAAATTCCAAGAGTATAAATCAAATTTGGAGAAAAAATGATATCCCTGCGGTTCATCTCTGAAGTGGTCCTGCAGCTCTTTTAGGCAGGGTGAACAACAATCCTTTGCCACATGCATTGTCTAAGTTTGCACGTCTTTCTTAACCTTGTCGCCGACACACAGGAAACATACTAGTACACAGTGATGGCGTTTAACCTCACTGTAACTTAAGAGTTTCTTGCTGTGGTTAGGGATGGAAAGCAGGAACTCCTTGAGGATGGTGGTAGCGTTAAATCTGCAAATATATCTCTTCCAAAAGATACTGTACGAGGCTGTCCCAACTTTTTCACATGATTAGTCTGTTATTAATGAACTGTGTAAGGGCTGCTCTTAATTTGTTTTGTTGCAACATTCCTGCAATAAATATTTACAACACAGCCATGCTATAATGATTGCATTTCTATTAACTCCATCCATAGTTTTCTGATGTGAGGACAATGGCTTGGGTGTTACTGCCTGAATACTGTTTTGTTCAGTCTTTGGGAACAGCTCATCTGTTAACCCATTATGTGCAGAGAATGCCTAAAGCAAGGCTGCAAGGTAACAGGAACAGGTGAAATCTATTGTTTCCTCACCTTTAGCTCTCGTTTAGCCACTCTAAAGGCCAGCTCAACAACGCTGCCTGCTGCCATGCGAGATGCTGTAGAGGTATGCGACTCATTCCAGGTGGTGTCATTGTCAACCTGCAAATCAAAAGTAGATAGACAACACATGTCATATTATTCACAATATGTGCTGTATGAATCTTGATTATGTCTGAGGTTCCTCTGGGACAATGAAGTGAAAACGAGGACTCTGCCTCGAGCATGCAGGACCGTACGTTCCGCTTTGATTCAAAAGTAAAAACATCATCAGCTTTCTCTCCCAGGCTGAGGTCAGATCCATATTTCTGATTATTTTCTTTCCATTCGCTTTTTTTCCCCCCTTCCCTCTGTTTGTTCTCAATGTGGCATTACTGTCCCTCTGGCTTGGACAATGAAATCATTTCTTTCATCCTCCTCAGTCATGGACATGTTGTTCTTATTAGTCTGAATTGTCATGGTCCGACACGGACTGTCAGGCCAACGTTAGCCAACTCTCTTTCCCTCTTTCATATCCCGTCCTTTTTCTAATTTTCTCTTTCTTCAATTTGCTGCTCATCTTTGAAAACGATATCATATTTCAATGCAGTGATTGTGTTGTGTTAGCTTTCACTACGAGCTTTGAAGAATAACGCTATGGTCAAAAATAGTGGGTGTGTGTGTGTGTGTGTGTGTGTGTGTGTGTGTGTGTGTGTGTGTGTGTGTGTGTTACTCTTACCCCTACACCCCCACATGGTAACATGACAAACATCCTTTGAGAGAGGATTCCTGAGGAAACAAACAGAAAAAGACTCATATTTATATCAGATACATTTCAGTTATTGTCTTTGATCAACATAATCACTTTATGCAAAGTCGGCTCATGCTGACCGTGCAGAATCCGTTAAAGACTCTTCATGTCATGAGAAAACTATTTATAGTGACGCTTTGTAGCACCAACATATGTTTGCTGTTTCTTTATAATCTATGGACTTCAAAAGACTCAGTAATGAACACAGTGTCTGACTTGTGTTTTAAATTGTACAACTTCACTTTTCGATAGTTTTGGTTCTGTTACTGACTAAATCTGTACATCTGGGGCACTGTTTGCTATTTATGTTTCTGATTAAGAGGCTGTTAAATTCACTTTAAAATCACTTTAATGTGTTTTTAAATTACACATTTTGGCTTGGGGAAGGCAATTCATTCACACAAAACTAAATCTGTGGCTGCTGCAGGCAGGTCATAGGTCTGTGCAATCATTTTGTGTGCTACTACCTTTGTTGCCTTCTTTAAAAACCTACCATAATCATACCTGTTTCTTCAAGTTGCCTCCCCATACTCAAAATCGTTTCATAATCGCTAAATCAGTCGACGTTGTTGCATACCTGCCAGCTTGCGGTTGTCTAGTTTGAGTCTGTTGAGCGGGTTGGTGCCGTAGAGCAGAACATGGCGCTCTGTGTGGACGGACTGGAGCTCCTCCAGAGTGGCTTTACGACCACGGATACTCTGTGTGAAGAGAACGTTTGCATTCAAGACATCGATACTGTAGTGAAAGATATCCATATTGTTGCACACAACCATTGACATGAACATACTGATTCAACTGAATTACATGGACTTGTAATCTGAACTTTTCTATTTTCAGATAAACCCATGAAATCATATTTTTGATGCTAATGATTCATTTTTCAGTCGTTTGTATGTTCTTGTATCTCTGATTTTCACGCTGCTGTCTTGACCTGGACTCCCTTGTGAGACAGAGTTTGTTTCTTTATACACTCATGGTAAATGGTTTTAAGTGTGTGTCAGTGTGTGTGTGTCCTGTGTCGTACCTCACACTGTCCCCTCAGGCCTCTCTCCTGTAGCCTTGACCAGATGCTCTGTATCCTCCCAGCATGCTCTGGGTGACTGCTGTTGTCTCCACATGTACATTGGTGCTTCAGCATCTGAGAGTCATACACCAGACCTGCAAACACACACACGTGTTCATTACTTTTTATGACATTTTGCATAAACAATTAATAATACATATTAAAAGAAACATGTGATCCAGATGTTATGGGAGAGAGTTGCTTTGGGAGGAAGTTTAACAGATGCAAAGAGGGCAAAGCTGCAGCTGCTCATAAGCAATGCATCCTGGGACATGTAGGAAATGCCAGTACAGCTCTATGAGCATTAGAACTCAGCTTTCTCTCTCTGTATCGTATGCACACAGGACGTTTTTGCTTCAGATAACATCCTTTACCGCTCTACCACAAGAGTTTTAAAAAATACTCCAACAACTGTGACTGACATTTTCCTCAACAGGTCAGTGCACGGGGCTTGAGTCTGACAATAAAATTATTATTCAAGACACAAAATCCCTCTGATAAAGACAGTGAAGAATGATCCAAAAAGGATTAAAAACATGACCTGATATTCAGAAGAGAGATGCACAAGGTCATGCAACAAACATCTGTGATCTCACACCCAACACTATGTTTAAAAAGTCCATTTGGAGAACTCACCGGTGGTGAAGCGTGGTTTGCTGCTGGCGTCCTGCGTGGTCAGGCTCAGAGGTTTCTCAGGCAAAGTGAGCGAGGTGGAGGCAGGGGATGACTGCGTGCGTGAAAGGGGACGATGGACACCCAATCCACTTCCGACACCGCCGCGTATCATTGGCACTGCCAGGGTCTCCATCTGTCGATGCAGCTGCTGCAGCTGCTTCTGCTGCTCCCATAGCAACGACTACAGAACAAGTGAAGGTGTAAAGGATACTTAACTGATAAATATAATCAAGTTTTTATCAAAAATATAACAGAAGGCAAAGATAAGTGCAGAATAAATCACTGTGGACGACACAGGGTTTGATTGTGTGCACATGACATCAATTTGATTGCTCTGCTCATGGTTTGCAGCTGTACACCTCTTTAAATAAGTGATTTGAATACTAGGCACACACTTAAAGTAAAATAACTTCTTCAGCTTATTATCCCTTAGCATCCAGAGTAATTTGACTCGGCCAGTATCAAGCATTCAGCTCTGAATCAGAGATACAGCTGACTCTTATCTTCCTTAAAAATCAGGTCACTCAAACTATTCTAATCTGTTTCTACTACTGACTGTGAAATTAAACATGCTATGTTTTGTTTTTACAAGATCTTCTTCATACCCCTTCAAATAAAAACTTCTAACTGTGTGGTTTGTCAGATTAGTAACTTGCACACATTCTGAAAGAGTAACAGCTCATCTGACATCATACACTGAAATAACCACTAGGATGTAATAAGCACTTGTTAAACCACAAAACATTGCAACAGCAGAAAAGATCATGGAAGGGAAAGAGTTATGCTGCCACCTACAGGACAGTTTGATGAAGATCAGTTTGTGTCTGTTTATCTCCTGTTAAAACGAGTGCCACATCTTCCTACCTGGTTGAGTATGAGTGCGTGCTGCAGGTTCATTTGCTCCTCATGGCTCTTGGATGCTGTTGGCCCCGCCTCCCTCAGTGACTCGGCCCTCGCTCTGCTCTGATAGGTTGGCTCTGTTGGCGATGTCCCGCCGCCGTCTTCTGAGTCCATGTCCTCTGAGGGGATCTGATGCAGTCTGGGCTTCTCGCTGGACTTGGACATCAGCTGCAAATATACAGTCATATACTGTAGGTTGTAAAAAATGCAAGAAATCAGACTCTGTGCAGAAGAGTTACTGCAAGTTAAAGAACATCAAATGTGTTGAATGGATTTTAAAAAAGAGAGGAATGGATGTGTAAGTGCCCGTTGTAATGAGGGAACTTGTGTGGACTCAAATTACCAAGAGACAGACAGTCTTAATGGAAGAAACACCGCCTCCATTAATGGTAAACAATTCAAATAATGTTTTAATCCATGTAGACAATTTCATTTTTGATAAATACATCAGTACTATCTACAAGCTTCTCGCCTTACAAAAAGCGTAACTCAATCAATTCTGTTGTATTGTTCTCTCCTGTTTCTTTAAGTTTGACCATCTCTGAAAGATGTAAAAAATTAACAGCACCACAAAAACTGTCTTCAGTGCAAACATTCATTGACTCATTAACACTGATGTCTGGATCTGAAAGTATTTGTGTCAATGCACACCTGTAAGAATGAGCGGAGCTAAAGACAGAGTTGTGAATGCATGCATGCAGACGTGAGCAGGTTTGTTATACGTGTCTATAATCTGTATTTTTCAGAGAGAGGGGGAACTTGCTATAAAAACAAGTCCTCCTCAGGGATCAATAACAATGACCTATCAGGCTTTTTCTGTTCTGTAAATCAAGAGGAGTGTGTACCTTGCCCAGGTGAGTTTGCTGTTTGAGCCTCTCTAGTAGTTGTGTGTTGTGCTGCTGCTGGAGGAGATGTGTGTGAAGGGGGCTCTGAGGGAGGGGCTCCGAGCGTGTTCTGCTCAGGGGCTTGTGGTGCTGAGCGCCTCCGGGAGTCAGGTGGTCCAACTGGGGGGCGAACTGGAGCTGGACGGGGTCTAAGCCTGGAACTTTTTCAGAGACAAAAGAGAGGAAAGTTGGTACCTTCCACAAACATGACTTTCAATTATATGGTTTTCAAACAGTAACATTTATCTCTTTTTCCTTGTTAACTAATTACATTAAACATAAATAGAAATATACAAGAAATTACATCACAAATTATACAATGCAGAGAAGTTGTTTTGCATTATTGAGGGGGATGAGAGAAAAGAAGATTTAAAGAATTTAAGTAAAACAGTGCAGAAATAATTTAATTGCTAATCCATTGAAGAAACCATAATTATTCTAAATGTCACCACTGGGAGGTGCTCTTTCATCTTGGACTCAAAGTAAAACCCCTTTGTCAAAATAACTATTCCCTTTAAATTGATAAAAGTGAACTATGTGTACATTTGTGCAGCCTTCTGCACATTTTAATCTGCATATATTTGACATCTTGGCCAGTTACAATGTGCCTCACCAGAGAGCAGTTGAGAGTGCACCAGTCCAGAGGGCTCCAGGATGATGACAGGCAGGTGAGGGTTCAGCTGCCCCGTCTGATCCTTCCTGCTCAGAGGGAGGAAGACCGGCGAGCCCCCGGCTGTAACCAGCGGCATCTGACCGAGCTTCAGAGAGGACATATCTCCTTCAGCCTGCACACGGTTATTAACCCAGTTAGACTCAGGTCAGGTCACAGTAAATCAGTATTTTAAAGCACAATCCCTCCTTTATTTACTGTATTTTCTCCTGAAACATGACTGTGAAGCTGGTCGAGTTCACGCACTTTTTCATTGATTTCAACGAGATTTCACAGCCATGGGATTTATTAATGCAAAGAAAGCTTTGTAAGCGGTCTATGTTCACTTTCACACGGTGCAGCTTCAGTCACTGCAGCTTAAAACACATCTTCTGCTGACACTTTGTCCGTCATTAAGTCTGCAAAACTCTCACAGCAGAAAAAGTCAGCAAGCATAATCTACATTCTGGAAGTACTCAAATATATTCCAGTTTCCAAACATTTTAGTCTGAATGAAATGATTGGTCAGGATTATCAGACACCTAAAGATGTTGTGAGAGCACTTGTCTGCCTGATTTTCAGGAGAAGATGTGATGTGAGAAGAAATCAGCTGTCATTACAGATGACTGTTTCAGTTGAGTGTTTACCCTGGCGTTGGCTGGTAGTCCCAATGTGATGGTGGGCAGGGTCGAGGGGCTCTGGATGGTGAAGTTAGCCAGAGTGCCGTCTCGGAGCAGCAGCTTCTGGGCCTGAAAATGACACAGATAAAAGGCAATTAAATTATAATATTTTATGTATATTTCAAGTGAATTTTGTAAATAACAAAAATACTGTCCGGCATAAACGCCTCAAAGCTCATTTTCATCTCATGCAGTTTGTCTTTGTCTTGACTTTTTCTGCCTTAGCGACCAAATGTCAATCCAACACAGTAATTCAAACCTGCGCGGTTTAATTAAATCTAAGCTGGTGTTTCTCTCCGAGCTGTGCGGTCACTGCAGGACTCGTGAGTCAGACGTCTGCAGCAGGTGTGACAGGGGTCGACTTTATGTGATTAAATGAATTATGTATCGACGGCTGACAAACACCGCTCCTGTGTCGTTGTTTAAAACAAGTCATTACTCAGCGTTCTGCGCAGCTCATGAACATGAAGCGACCTCGCTTTTTTATTTTTTTAATAATGCAAACGTTTTATTACACCTCTCAGAGTCAGCTGAAGCTGTCTGAACAGATTTCTCAACATCTGCATTTTCCCAAACCCCATCAAAAAGTAACTTCTCATTTCTATTCTAATGCACCGATTTGTGTTATTTATTTTTCAGCTTTTTCTCGCAGTGAGAGTGTTAACTTCAACTGATGTTTGCCTAGATTACATTCATCAAGAATTTGAAAAGTGATGAAAACATTATGTGTGTGTGTTGCTGCTACCTCATGTGAGAGGCCGCCTGCAGATGGCAGCAGACCGTTCTCATTGGGCAGACTGTCGTTAGGAGAGCTGCAGCCAGAGACGGGAGTACTGCTGCTGCTGGGGGACGAGTCTGACGAGAGACAGGGGAGAGTTTACATCATGATACAGCTTCTTGATTGTATTTCAATAAAACCACATTTAATCCAAACCATTATAATAACATTTAAATATATGCAACAAATGAAAACCTAATTATTTCACAAAAACTCAGCATTAGCATTCATTTTCATTTAATGTGTGTGTGGGTGTGTGTGTGTGTGTGTGTGTGTGTGTGTGTGTGTGTGTGTGTGTGTGTGTGTGTGTGTGTGTGTGTGTGTGTAGTTACCCAGTGTGTCAGGTACTCTGTGTTTGACAGTAGCTGGGGCGCTCTCTTTGCGGGTCAGGGGGCTCTTTCTGGTGTTCAGGTGTTTCTTCAGCTTGTGTCTCACCTTTAGATTGGGCTCAGACGCTAAAAAAAAAGAGCAATATGAAAAATAGGTCAGTGATATTTTAGTATGCAAATGACTTCCTTTAGTTCAGACTGTAAAACCACATCAACCATCCGACCAATTTCCAGGTAATGAAGACTGTCACTTTAAAAAAAAAAAAAAAAAAGACTCTGATTTGGCATTTACATATTAAAAAAAAAAAGTTTCACATCATCATTCGATTATCACTTATTCTTGAATTATAATAATAAACAGAAAATGCAGTTGTGCTTCTTCAGTCTCTGCCCGCTGGTCACAGTCAGAAAGTGACCGTGGAGGTCAGATTGTGTTACCTGCTCTGCGTAGCGGCGTCCCTTCTGAACCCTCAGAAGAAGGAGGATGTGTTGGAGAAGTGACAAGAGGCTGGGAGGATACACTCGGGTCTGGGCCCAGCTTCCTGCACAACACAAAGACAGGTTTCTGGGTTATTTATAAATCACATTTTGGTCATTTTTCTTCTCTCTAATTTGCCAGTTGTTTCTTGCTACATCTGTTTTTGTCGTTAGTGTGCTATAATGGGTCGCTGGCTGCAACACAAATCTCCCTACAGGTACAAATAAAGTAACCTGAAGCCGAACCTGCACAACATATAAACACACATACAGATGAAACATTTAGCTTATGTCTTCACACAACACAAGGTAGAAGTTTATCAAGAATTTAAAAGATTTACAATCTTAAAAACAACGATATTCATTTTGTGTGCTTGATGCACAGTGAGTGTTTGTGTTGATGCGTCCTGCGTCACCTGTATGCTACAGGAGCTGAAGTCAGAGTGTTGGAGTTCGTTCTCTCGAGCGCCGCCTGTTTCTGCTTCTTGAGAATCACCTCCTGGAGTTTCTGTTTCACCAGAGAACTTGCGACCGCACCTGTCAATCAGTAACACAAGCAGCGACTTAAAAAAAACAAAAAAAACATAGAAAGACTCACAAACGGCTTCTTCATTAAAGGAGGCGCCAGGGAAGAAATGAGCAATGAGGAAATAATAAGTGACTCCTGGATTCATGTCAAAAAGAACTGCATAAAGTCAGTGAGGGGGAGGGGGTTCAGGATTTACATGAGCAGTGTGTCATTTAGGAGCATGTGAATGCCCTTTGCATGATGCCGGTTAAGGTCACAGGTTTATCTGGGAGTCTATTCACTGCCACAGCTGTGCGTCTGTGTTTGTCTGCATGCGAGTGCAAATGTGTGCACAGAGAGGTGACAGGAGGTGCTCGCAGTGATCAAGTCAATATTGACCCTGTGACTTTATGCGCACAGACCCGAGGCTATATTTAACCCCTCTGTCGTAGCTCCACTTGTCGGGATATATTTAGTAAAAGGAACAGCTTTGAAGGCGGAGTCACACTTTCCCATATAGAAGAGTTCACCTACAGGGACTTTTCCAGCTGCTGTCAGCACTCTTTTTTTTTTTTTTTAAGATTGATACATCACACCTGATCACACCTGAAATGAAAGGTGTAGTAACATGTAAGTGTAGTTAAAGTTGAGCTTTTGAGAATGGACTCACTCTGCTGACTCTTTTCTTTGTATTTCAGTTGCTGCAGCTCCTGTTTCTCATGGTGCTCCTGCTCCCGCCTCCTCTGCTCCATGTTGAACTAACACAAACAAATACACACATGCATGTTATATAGAAATGTATTTAAAAAAAAGAAAGACATGATGGTCAAAATGAAGGAACAAAATGCATTCAGTTCATTTCAAGAATCTATGCTCAGGTAAATGTGGCGTTGTATACCCGGATGTGCTGGTGCAGCTGCTGCTGTGAGAAGGAGGTGCGGGGCGGAGTGGAGAACGGAGCGAGGAGTAAAGGTGGGTGCAGCGGGGTGAGGAGCGCCGTGTCCGAGCAAGGGCGCATCCCCCGCTCTCCCACCCTGAGGTCCATGGGAAACAAGGCCTTGTTCAACAACGGCAGCGCCACAGAGGAATCTGGGAAAAGAGAAAGAAGAGGAGGAGAGGAGTGTCAATCTTCAAATTCGAGACAGCTGATGAACTTTAAAAAAATGATGTGAACAAACTGTACACAGAGACCAAATAAATCAGCGTGGGGAGGGATGGGAGAAAGTAACACTAGCATTACATGTTCATATAAAGAGAAACTTTGCAGCTGTCAAACATCAGCACCAATCTTAAACATCCTGGGAGGACTGATGATATAAAAGTAGTCTGAACATACAGAGTTCACTAGAAATCTCATGTCTGTAGAGTCAGTCAGAAAGGTCTTAGGTAAGTGACTAGTCTGGGATGGAGGTTTAAACGGCAGCTATTGAAACAGTTTACAGGAGAGAAGCCAGCTCAGCGTGTCAACGATTATTTAATTATGATTACTCTCATTTGTGGCTTAAGAGTCAATTAGGTAGAACAAACATTTGCAACTTATTCTGTAACCAAGACAAATAAAACATCAACTAGCAACGAGGATCATTACTCATTACAACTGTCATAATGATAATTAAAGCTAACGGCTGAGGTTGCTAGGATACGGCAAAAATCATAATCACAATCACCATGAAACATGATTTTACAACGTCTGCAGGACACACATTTATCAAACGTAAACACTTTAACATTCAGAACAATTTACAAAACAATCCAGAGCAACCAGCATGTGACAAAGCAAAAGTTTGATCTTGATTATCTAAAGATCTGTTTTTAACATCTAATTTTTCATATCAAACAATGTTTAATCAGCATGTCAGGTTAGCATATCTCATGACTTTAAATATTTGGTGACTAAATCAAATCCTTACACTACCAGTCATAAGTTTGAAAACACAACAGTCACAGTATTATCAATAACACAGCTTACTATATTATTATAATATAACTACTGTAAGCTGTATCGCGGGTACACCTACTAATAGAAGGGTTTTCTTTATTTTTACTATTTTCCACATTTTAGAATAATATTAGGTATTAAAACAATGCAAATAAAACATTTTATTTTATTTTGACTTTGGAAAGAAATGCATCCATACGTAGGCATCAACGTCCCTATTTCTTTTTCTAAGAAACATGTCAATCATTAATGCATGAGGCTTTAAATGAAAATAAAAGATAAGAACATGCACTTCAATCAGGTGTGTTCAAACTTTTGATTTGTATTGTATTGTACAAAAGCTTATGAAGGCAAGCGAAGAATTTAGTTTTTTCCACTTTGTTTGAAGGATTTAATGTCAAACGTTTCAATATGAAGATTCCAATGAGAAGGTAAAAATGAACAAAAAAAACCACAGCATTTTTTGGGGGGGGCTTCAGGGGAGAGAGATGATTTTCTGGACTGAAACTTAACTCAACTTTTCAAAACGTCATAAGCTGTTAGACAAACTCTTTCAGTGCAATAATAAAAACAGCGACATCCTTTCTCATCATAATAATTTCCCCTTTTTTTTTGGATCATATTGTAAAACACACTGCACCGGACCTTACAAAAGTGCCACTTGTCTCACCACAACATTTGCCTATTAAAGTTTATAAGATTAAAAACAGGTGAAGCACTTGTCTGGCTCACAGTTTTTTATCCTAACTGAGGACATTTCATTTGATGGAAAATTTAACTTTCAAAGGCTCTTACGCGCCCACCCAAACAGCTGTCACTTAAAGGGATTAGAAACCCAAACTGCTCCAGTGGAAATGATCAACACCACTAAAACCATGACGCAAACAAACCCTGTTTTCTTAGAGCAAAAAGAGATTTTACTAAATGTACATGGGTCTGTTTTTGTAAACATACAAGGCACAGATAACACAACTTTAAGTACAAACTATTCTACTGCCTATATGTCTCTCTCTGTGTCTGTTTTTCTGTCTGCCTGTGGGAGTGTATTTATCTCTTTACACACAAACACACACATGAATTTCCATGCTCTTTGCATGCTGTTGGGGTTATTTGCATGGTTGAGTCAATGGGAAAGATTGCCTCATTGGGGGCTAAAAACAGGATCCAGGAAGGGAACAGCTTGGGAAAAGGCTGGGGGTGGTTTCTGACTATGACACACACGCATCTGCACGCACACACACACACACACATCTGCACACACACACATACACACATTTCTGCACACATACAGATGCACTTGCACAAACAAATGCAGGCACACAAACACTTGATGCAAACAAACAACATCTACATACCTTACATTCAAATCAACATGTACACATTCATCTGCAGACACATTCATGCAAACAGTTATATAAACAACACACACACAAACCTACACACACACAAACCTGCACTAACACAGTCACCTGCTGCACACTCACACACAGCTGCGCTCACACAACAGGCTGAAGCAAACGCCCGATTGCACAAACCTGCCTTTTACTGTGAAAAACCACAAATTTCTAACGCACACAGAGCGAGCGTTGAAATAACCTTGGGCTGACATCATCTCCATGCTGCTTGTGTGGCAGGCTGCAGTCTGTGAAGTAAATGTCACTCATAGAGGGGCTCGGTCTGATGCCAACAACTAAATTAAAAAAAGGAAGAAAATGGCGACAGGGAACAGAAAACTGTAGAATATAACAGACATTTTACCCGCGGTTGTGAATATGTGCAAACACACCGAAAGAGAGCCCGAGTTGCTTTGGTCTTGTTTGCATTTTTGTTTTGGTTAATGTGACATAGCAGTGTGTGATTGTGTGTGGGTGTGCGTGTTTGTCTGCGAAGTGTCAGTCTCCATATTAGGAGATACAAATGCAGAGAGACAGACTGAATGCCGACCGTGGCTGAAATGACACAAATCCTTTGACAAACACACACACAGCGCTGTGCACACATCTTCTTGGTAATGACACCAGAGGAGTAACAAAGCCATTATTCTGAGGCGAAGGAGACGGCATGCTTATACAAGGAAACAAAGAAGGCTGCTACAGCACACACACACAGAGTCAGGAACACCGGTGTCTCTCCCTCCCGAGGGTTATAAATAGAAAAAAAAAACACACTGGTCCAACATTAACCTACACAGGGCTTTTTGTTTCTGCAAGGAACACACACACACACACACACACACACACACACACACACACACACACACACACACACACACACACACACACACACACACACACACACACACACACACACACACACACACACACACACACACACACACACACACACACACACACACACACACACACACACACACACACACACACACACACACACACACACACACACACACACACACACACACACACACACACACACACACACACACACACACACAGTGATGTCACCTTCAGTTTGTTTTTGAAAAAATATGAAAGGAAGTGCTAGAAAAAAAGAGGTTAGAATAAAACCAGAGACAGAAAAAGAAAGCAAAATGAAGGATGTTCAATGTTTTAATTATAGTTCTCCGACAGCGACGGCCGCTTAACCACCTCTTCACGGTGCTCCATCACCATCATCACTTTGCAAGATAAAACTAAAAATACTTTGCAGGAGAGAAAACGGAGTGGGCCACATTATTCGTTTGATATAGTTTCAGAAGCGGTTGAGTTTAACTGGACAACAACATAACATTGCTATAATTCATTAACTCTCTAATTTCCTGTCATCACTCTTAAGGCTCACTTCATCAGAGGGCTCGTTCCTGTAACACTCACACCTCCTTTAACACCTTGTCTTATCATACATCAGCGTTGACGCGTGTTATTGACTGAACCGCATAAAGACATGAATTAATGTTTTGTTCCGTTTTTTATAAAATTAGCGTTATGATATTTTAAGCCCTTCTCTTTTTATTCTAGGGCTGCACAATAAAAGCTATTTGATCATAATCACAGCATGAGCATTCTCAGTGAACACATCTCAATGTCTGAATTTATTGCAATGAAATCGAAAAAAAAAAAGTTTCATATTAACAATCAAAGCTTTCTCACACACAGAAGGCCAAAGTAGTCCTTTGTGGATGGACGCCTGGTTATTATAATCGCCCTGCGTTCACATCAAGCTAACCATCCGCTAACCTCAGATTAATCGGTTGTCATTCAGTGTTGGAAGAAAAAAGAAAGGGGAGGAGTAGCAGACAGAATCACCTGCTGACTGAGAAAATCTGCATTCAAAAGACCTATAGTCAGTTCCAGCACGGTGTGCACAGAGTTTAATGACATCCCCCCCAACAGACACAAAACCAGTCCAGGGAGATTTCTATAACAGACGACTGAAGCATGTCATTCAGGTGTATATTAAATCATAATGTAAACATTTCCTTCCACGCTGTCAATTAGGAGAGCATGCATTGCTTTTGCCCTGCAGGCCTGATTTTATCATTTGTTTAGTCAGCTGATCATTTCAGGGTTCCACTGCGTTAAAACTGTTCGCTACACCCTCGACGCTTCATGTGACGTTAATTAGCACAATGAAGAAGAGAGGGGTGAAAGAAATGTGGAATGGGAGCTAACTTACAAGCACACTTTTTTGTTTTATTCATTGAACGTCATATCATCATGTCAATAAAGAGCATTGTTGTTCCACAGCTTATCGTCATGCCCTGCAGGCTTTGTGTGTCATTTATCATCATGGGTTTGTCTACTCGGCCGCAGTATTTGACTTAATGTGTTGATTAGTTAACTGTTAAGCTGCAGCATTTTCTAAATTGAATCTAGCCACATCAGATTGACCAAGAGAGTGCAGACCAGCTTTGGTGCTTCTACAAACTGCTCAGTGTCTTGTGACCCGTTTGCATTAAATAAAAAGGGACCACCTAGCCTCCCTGCTGCCCAGTGATTGTATAGCCGATGCCTTTCAGAATAAAATATCTGATAAGTACACAATTCCAAGTTAGAAAACATGACTTGAAGTAGAGAAACTGGTTTAGTCTTTGGATCCCAACACATTCAATCCTCCCACAGTCTTTCTCTCCGGGGTCTGTCGACGTAATACGAGGCTCTAAGTTATCTAAAAAGAAATGTGTAATGAT